AGCAGGGGCTGGCACTCGGTGATGGGAGGGGAGGGGGCAGGTGAGGTGGCAGAGGAGCAGGCAGATGTCAGCAGCTGCTGGGGGCTGGCAGAGGAACAGCAGCAATGGCACCTTGTGTGGAGGGAAAAGGAGTCCAGAAATGGGGATAAAGGAGGGGCTTTGGGATRGGGGAGGAAGGGCATTCAAGTTACGCAAGGGAAGGGAGAGAAATGATTTGTAGCTGTGCAAAGGTGTATGAGAACCTGTTTAATTTCTCAGTGCTAAGGTGCTCATTTATCTGTGATTAGCTCTGGAATAAGTGCACTCACAGGGGCCTACACAGGGAGGATTTGGCAGAAAAAGAASGGTTTGGTTTGGAGATGAGTGGAAGGCAGAAGAGTTCTGTTGAGGATGGATCTGTTGTGTTGAAAGACAAAGAGAATGGGTGGAAGGTTAACATGCTCCTCTGTGTGGTGTTTCTGTCCTGTCCTGGATCAGATGTGGACAGGTCTTTGTTCAGTCTTGGTGCACAGAGTCCATGTGCAGATTCTCTGAGGCTCTGGAGGGCAGGTGGCTGATCCACTGATGTGCTGCTGGCCACTGCTGGTGTTATTGTGGATTTGGCTTCTTCAAGGAAAGCAGAGCTGTGATTACCCTTCCCTTTGCTGTCTGTGTGTGACAGCATCCATCAGTGCTCATCCATCCACTCAAGTGTCACAATGAGACGTGGTTGAAAATGACAAATATGTACAAATTTCATCCGAGCACTGTGCCTGTTCATTCTCTAAGGCTCTTTTCTTAACCCCTCACCATGCTGCCAAACCACAGCTCTAGAGCAAAGCTCCAGAAAAGCTTCACTCCATGCCATCTCTAATCTGGACATAACTTCAATCAATTCTCACAGTGGCCATAGTTCTCCATTTGTGTAATTTACATAATTCCATTAGGTTGAATWCATKTACGTAAATTTATACCTTCTTCTGSTGAGRAGGTTTGTGTTGMTTGTTACTGCTTTGGGATTTTTTGACCATAGCCAAGCTCTTTCTGGTTACTCTGGCAGGYACCAGTCAGCACAGCACCCGTGTGTTTCACCTTACTTAAAGAATTTCCTCACAAGAAGAATGAAGTTACAATATACCCCAGGTTATTGTGTCCTGACAATGTTCAGAAAATTCTCATCTTCCCTCTRCATTTTTGCAGTTGCCCTTCTCTTAAAAGTACCTATTGCCTCTTTTTCGTTAGGTTAATTTCAAATCCAATTTTGAGGGAAATACCTTTTCTCTTTGGTCTGAYGTGGGAACACCCCTGCCCCACAGATGATAATAGGGATTGCTTACTCAAACAGAAAGAAAAATTCTTTTATGGATGGCATTTTTATTTTATTTTATTAGATGTTCCATGTAAAGCATTTATCATTGGAATAATTTTCCCTCTCAAAGTCATATCAGACACAAAGCTGTCTTCAGGGCTATTTCTTCTAGTTCACTGGACAGCTGTTCTGCCTGAAAAGAAAGAAAAGATCATATATCAATCAAAGACTTCAGGAGAATCCTTATGTTCTTTATCTAATGGGAAAATCCTAACTGTGAGTTCTTGATCTTCTGACTTCTGCTTTTTCAGTTTGAAGAACTGCATTGATATGTTTTGTATGGCTTTCTGTTGGGTTTATTTTTTTGTTAATGTATCTTTTGTGTGTGATTTTGATGCTTAGAGGGTGTTACAAACTCRTCTTCACTGGTGACAGCCACATCATAAGCAAACAGTTTTCTTATCCCTCTGACTCGATTCATCCTCTTCTGAATGTCACTATGGGCAGAAATTAGTGCGAGCAGAATTCTGCTTAGCAGAAACAAGGTTCTCATCTGTGCTCTGCTGGTGCTGAACTACWGATTTCCAGTGGAAATAGACCAAAGGGCTGAAATATGTGCCCAAGCTGCAGCCTTCTTAACTGGTGCAGATGTCTGCATTTACTCATTCTGAAGTTGTGTAACTCCATTGCAGTGAAATAAGTAACAGAGAATAAATTACTTGGGGAAAAAAAATTATTGCTAATACACTTTTACCTTAGTCTGTCATGCTAACCAATGAAGATTCAAAGTATATTAAAAATTCCTTGTCTTAAAAAAAAAGTATTCAGGATTCTTTATACAGTTTACCAAACAATGTGTATGTACAGTAGCAGAACTGAGATTAGTGTGTGTCCCTTCATCTGTAAGTGTGGGGTGAGACACACAAATGAACTTGGACGCTGCCCCTTGAGCCCAGCAGTGATTGCCTTGAGAAGGGGAGCCACATCCTCTAGGCAGCATTTCCTGGCCCTGTTATCTCATGAGCTGTGTCAGATCATGATTGCACTGCACAGGTACCCTGGGACAGGCTGAAAGATGACTTGGAGACMCAGGAGGCCAAGGGAACTATGAACCAAACCGGGACATTTTTGCACAAGGGAGAAAGAAAGGCAAACTCCAAAAACTCCAAAAAGATTTCTGTCTGCACCTGTTACATGTTCATGCTGTGCTGGCATTTGTTATCATCTTCAGAGCGCAGACAATGCCATGTAGGGCTCAGCAATGCAAAGATTTGCAGTGTTTTGATGTGTTTTGCTGAAAGAGACCCTSTGTTCTCTAAGCCAGCAGACCTTGACTTTGGTAAGGCTTTGCAAGGGCTGTCTGGCCTGGATTCCTTTATGTGGGATTGCAAGCAAAATTAAGGCATGACRCAGCTAATTATGCAGTGGAAAGGAGGTATGAGAAAGGAAAGATGTGCCAGCATAATTGCAGTAAATTCTTGTATTTACATATACTTAAAGCTGTCCCGATCCAAAATCTCCYGAAGCAAATGAATGTATTGATTCTAAGCAGATCTTGGATCATATCACTTGCCATATTGGATCAGAATATTGGGCCATCAAGTGCCATTGATTATGACCAGGAGCTGAAGATTTAGAGGAAAAGGCAAGAAACCTGTGATCAGTCATTGCAGAATAAGCTCTCCTCAAGGATGTTGTAATTAYAAGCAGGACGCATGGCCAGTGTGCAAACTGTGATAGCTCTAAACAAAGGGAAAACAATGGGGATGATTTAATTCTCTTTTGCTTTGAAATAAAAAAAGATCAGTTTTATTTAATCAATAGACTCTRGGGTTTGATGTATGGATGAAAACTTTACAATCAGTGGAATAATATTTCTGGTTAAGCACTTCTCATCAGGCACTTGTTTGACCTGTGAGCTGCTTCATTTTTTAAACTTAGATGTCTCTATAATAGAACTTCTAAAGATTGTTGCMGTGCTAGCACGGGGAGCATGTGTGTGTGTGCTTTAATACGGATGCATCTTGTAGGAGAGGAGATAAACCTTTTTCTCTGCACACAGACACATACATGATTTATCAAACATATTGTATTACTCTGTCTTTACAGTAAAACCTACAGTGGATGTGAATTACTCTATCTGTGAAGGATTAGAAACTCTGATGTTCTGTCTTGTATTCAAGAAGAGGATTACTCGGCAGATAACGTGCAGATAATTTACTTTTAGTGAGGCATYGCAGTTTAAGGACCGCAAAAATCAACTTTCTTGAGGCAAAAGGAATAGGAATTGRTATGGAAAAATATAGGGTGGTTGACCACTTATGGAAATTTCAGGAGAACATCAGAAATACATAATTATATATTTATTGAACAGTCGTCATTTTCATCTTCCTAAAGTGATCTTTTGATTTAAAAAAATTAAAAATATGTTGTAAATKCCGAGTACCTTGAAATTCACCAATTTTATTGCATGTATTGGCGTGATTGGCAGCCTTACATGCCAACAGCTCATTTAAATATGAAACATCTGTACATTATTATTTAGGGATTTTTCATCTGTTGATTTTAGAAATGAGGATTTTATGAGTCCTTGCATGCATAATTGTGTGTTACTTATATACAGAAGCAGTCAGTAAYGAAAGAATTGGCCAAAACCCTACTGTATACGGTTTTGTGATTAGGATAGGAAATGCACTGTATAAAGAAATACAATATGCACTGCATTTGATTTTAGGTGTGGCAGCAGCAATTATGATTTTGTAACAGTGGAAGTAACATGACAGTTCAAAAGCACAGTGAGAAGATTATGCTTTCTTATACACAGCAATGTAAATTCTTAAAATAACAATGTAATTTTTACATTTTTCACTGGATATCAAGATAATCCAATTTAGAACAATTTATTCTCAACAGGTATGGTAAAAATAGATATATCATTCTGGAGCGTGGTATAATACATTAATTTTTATGAGTGAGTTATGAAGATGTACAACTCAGGACCTAGGATAAACATCATATTCCTTAATTAATCCATTACATTATGGCACATATGTGTCACTTTTATTACCCTAAAATGAAAAATGTTGGGGAAAGAAAAAAAGCCTGGGTTTTTTTTTCTGTATTAGGAAACCATCCCTCTAAAATCATAAAAATGTAAAATCTAATGCAGCAAACACTATTAATGAGTTAAACATCTAAATTCCTTGAAGACTTGTAAGATAAAGAGCCATCATCTTCTGGTAATCATTCAAATACATTCTTTGTTCAAATATTTTAAAGTTTCTGCATGGAGTTTCTATATGTTTAAATCATTCCAGACCACTTAAATTCCAGCTWGAGAATACAACTGAAGCTGTGATTGAGCAACGAGGTAGGAACAGTAGTGGAAAATGAAGAAAAAAAAAATCTGTCCCTTTAATATCCCAAAATGCAGTGATGTATAATTCTTATAATTTCAGAASTTACTCATAGGGATCTACAGTGAACCTCTCTGTCCTATGGATCTTATTGTGGCCAAGATTCTCCCTTCTGTCCCAGGGTAGAGCTCCAATAAATCTGGTGTATTTAATGGATAGGAAACTCATGATTTGCAGAGGAACAGTGGCAAAGATTGGCTCTGAGTGTGGGTGGGTACCACGTTTGAACTGCAGAGTTTTATTTATAGGTGGAGATGAGTATTAGACTTGTAATTATAAATATTTTGTATTTACAGCAAAGGATCCACGAGAGCGTCTGTCACCCGTTGATTACAGAATTAAACCTCTCCCCACTCCAGCCAGGTAAGAGATATCAGCCCTGCAGCTCCGAGTGTCTCTGGATTGGGAAGGTGGGTCATTTCCAAAACAGTGGTCACTGGTGGAGCTATCCAAGGCACATCTTGGARCAGACTCCAGATCTCCCTCACTTCCTGCTCAGACACTTCTTCTCAACAGAATTTACCTATCTGATTATCTGGTATGGGAGCTGTTTTTCCAAAATGTGTTTTTTCAGTTATGTTTAAGTGCTAGAGCTGGGTGCTGAAACAATCACTTGCAACTTGTCTGCTCCACTGTGTTGGAACATCCTGATATCAGTCCAGGAGATCATGAACGTGTGTTTTGTGAGTCTAAGAGCAAATGATCTTTTACATATCTATGTGTATACATTTTCTCGTGATTTCATAATGCTAGGTTATCTGTCATTATTTGTCACTTCTAAAATCTGATACTAATAGAATTTAGTATTTTTCATTTTACATTAAAATATGAATAGACATAAAACAGCATAAACCAAAACACTATTAACAAAAAAACCAAATTAGAGATTATTGTGTATTGAAGACACGAAGTTTAATACAAATTAGCACAATACAAAGAAATATGTTTTTCTGCTATCTCAGCATTAGAAGAATAGCTCTGCTTTTCTCCATATGTCTGTGTCACCAGGTTGTTATTTCTTTTGTTTAGTCATATAATAGAATGTGTTGAGACATATTATACTCAACTTGTGTAGCAGCCYACAAATACTGATTGCAGTTTGAGCTTGTTATGGAAAAGTATTGCCCTGTGGATTGAGAAAATGACCAACAACGGACTATAATCTATGAAGCTGAGAGTAAAATTGCCAACTAGAGGTCATTTTTCAAACCAAGGGGCAATAGTTTTCTACTATAAACTGAATATTACAGTCAGTATATGTTTTATTAAACCATTTCAGAAACTTGGGAGCAGTTTCATTTAAACTTCTTGCTTGATGTGGCTCAGAGAACAGGCCCAGGGCAGCCCACAAAAGAGGCCTAGTGCAGTCTCTATAATAAATATTCTGTATACTCAGTAATTATGAAGGCTTTAGGGCCTTTATGGTGAATGGCCATATCCTGCCACCATTCTCAATCCTTAGCAGCGATTGAAGTCATTAAGATTTGTGTATAAAAATCAGTGCAGGCTGCTGTTTCTCACTGTAATACTGTGAAAAACTAGAGCTGAACTATATAGAAAAGCCAATTATGGCCTTTGCAGTCTAAAAGATTAAAAGGAAAATGCCTCTTCCTCCTCCATATCCTCTTACTGTTTTTCTTCCCTGAAGTATGTAGAGGATGGCATCACACAGGGTGGTTGCCTGGTGCCTCAGTCAGTAAGAGGATTTCCATCCTGCAGTAACAGAAATGCAATAACATGCATGGACAAAGGGAAGCCTTTGCCCCCTCCTATAACACACCTTGCTTATCCAGAGAGGGTTCTGCCATCCTGTGCCTGGGGAGCAGAGGTGTTTTCTGCAGCCRGTGCTTGGAGTGACTTTCAACTGTTGCATTTTGTCAGTGCAAAAAACCCTCRGTGGCCTTCAGGTTTTAGGAAGGGTGATACTGAGTTTTAGCTTCTCTGCAAAAGAGGGAAGCAAAGAAATGTCTGATCACAGTGGCTTGGGCAGAAGGAACCCAAACAAAAYATTTCACTTTTTCCTTGAGAATCTCTGTTACAAATAATTTTGTTTAGAACTCCTTGTGACACTTCTCCTTAGCTTCTTCTGCAAGCTTTGGCATTAGCTTGTCTACSTTCCAGGATTTCTGATTTTCTATTTAGAGGCAAAGCTCAGTGCCTAATCCTGGTTTTGAGGCATAACCATATCACACACCAATGTTACCCCCTTGTTCACAGTACACATATTTAAATTCCTGCATGTCTAAGTTGAAAATCCACGTCACAGTCATGCATGTAAATTCTGTATTCCCATAGCCATCATTGGTGATTTCCATCTGTAGCTGCCAGATTATTGCATAGTTACAGCTACAGCATGGGCAAATTAGGTGCAAAATATGTTTTTGTACTCACAGTTTTTATAAACCAGACCTTACATCCATATTTGTGTATATATTATACAGACACAGACATAATTTTCAAATGGTCATAATTTTAAAGGTCTACATAAAACTTCACCTCAGCAAAGGAGATGGATTAGAGTAATAAAAAACGGAGCAGCAAAAGTCCTGTTATACATCTAGTCCATCTTCTTGACATTACAGGATTGTTCCCCACAGGGTACTTGCTAATACTTTGTCCAGAGCAGGTTTAAATGTCCCAAGCASTGAAGCTCCCACTAAAGTTTGACAGAAATAATTCAAAGGACAGTTTTCTGGCACACTATCTTAAAGTGAACAGTTTACCAACTGTTATGCTGCTCATACACWCAGGACAGGTCCCTGGAGTTATCTCCTTGGCACTTCCAGACTTGTAAATATTTGCAGAAAACCTCCATAAATTACTTTGGTATTGACCATGCCATTTTCCCTCATCCTACACCTAACACTGTCACTGGGCAGATTGTGAGGGTTTTTAAGAYTGGGCCAAATGAAGATAATGCCATTAATTTAGTGCTGCATATATTGCCTAATATACACACACAATATATACGATTATGTATCTAGTCTGTGTCCATTTCTAGGAGGATGTTGTTTAGAGGACTGTCTGATTGTATTGGGCCTCTGCAAACATATAATTAATCTCATTTTTAGCAATGCTTAGCTCCAAGCTGATGGTGTAGAAATATAGGGTTATTAGTTTCTAGAACATTTTTATTATGCACTTTCTGTTTTGATTGACAACTATTAGTATTTTAAGATGACAGAACTGAAACTTATGCTGCCAGATAGCATCAAGTGTAATGTATACTAAGTAAACAGAAGCATGTGAGCAGGATAATATTTATTGTATAGTTACACAGCACTGGGTGAGAGACTAGAGACAGAATTATTCTTCAAGAGGAATATTTGATATTTTACGCTCTTTAGAAATACAAACATATGACTGAACTTTGTGCCCTCTTTCCTCRGGGTAGCATGCAGATTTTATCATCTATCCTTGCTGGGTTGCTCTTGAAAGCTTCCATTCTTCACCTTCCTTTCTCTCAAATTGTCTGTGTAAGAGATGAGGAGGAGAAGATCCCTCTGACATGAATTTTATAGCTCTTCTGCTTCTGATGGTTTGTCTTGTAGCTCAAGCTGAAATTTGTATTAAGCCCTTCAAATCCAGCCCTTTTCCTGGAGTGCTTGACTGTCCAGGTCATGTCTGGTGGGGTGAGAGGCACAGTCAGAGGTGCTGTGCAACAGGAGATTCATGAGGAGAAGGATTGTAGCCACTGTGTCCAAGTCAGGTTGCAATTACTTGTTTGGAAAAARAAATAAAATAAAAAATTAGCCAAGTAAATAATAATTTTGTCTTTAGAACAAAAATAATAGTTATTATGAAGTATATGCAAATTCTCCATGTATTTCTAGTGAATATTTAATATAAAGCAATTAGAGGCAGGGCAAGAGTTACATAGATTGTAAAAACCAACAAATAAAGAGGCTCCCATTTTCATGACACAGTTCACCCATCTAAGATTACTTGTGAAATTTAAGATAAAAGGAAGAAGCTGTAATATTCAGAAACTTGTTCTTAGGTCTGTGTGCCTCGACTGCCATGCTGGAGCCAGACCTGGCTTTAGAATGGGATGGCAGAGATGTGCATTTCCTGAAAMTATGTATAAACAATCCAAGCAAAGTGAATTAAGATGTGAATTTTTGTGCTGYGTTAACAAGTAAATTGATAAAATTAGCATTAATCAAAAAGGATGAAGACTTTGGGCTTTCTTTATTTTGTAAAACAGTTTCAGCTTGCATCCTTTAGAGCAAAAAGTACTCAGCTCAGTGTTCCAGGAGGTTTGTCAGGCACAGAATATTTTAGACAAAAATACCAGGTTTAACTCCTGTAGTGAATGGAATAAAGCAGTAAACCTGGTGTTCTACCTATTTTTCCTTAATTCAGATCTAGCTTGACTATTTCAGTGAAGGAGCATGTTTACCTATCTTTAGTTGAAGCTGAGAGGCAATTCTTAAACTATTCTCAATTCAGATTTTTTTTATGATGATGAAGAGTAACCACTTGTGTCCTTTGCCTACCACCAAAACAAGTAGCTGTAACATCACAAGATAATATCATTAGCCAGCTGGTTTTGACAAAAAAAGATTGACTGGAGGGGAGAAGGACAGTCAGTGGGGTTGATATATTTCACCCTTATTTACTGCCTTGAGTAAATGAATTTTTCCAGTCATCAAGACAAAAAGTATCCATGTGTGGGGTGCTTTACCTTTTCCCTGAATGTGCCTTTATATGCAGTACCTGACTCCTAACGGGGCTGTTGGGCAGCATTTCTCAAAGTTGCCATTTCTAACTGCAATTATAATGTTGTTAAACAAAAATGAGATATATATATATATATATATAAATACACATAAAGTACCTGATCACATAACATTTATTATGAATTGTTTGGTGAAGTTCTGCTTTCATCCCTTAAATATACACATCATATTGTTGTAAAATTCTCTTTTGGTTTCCAACCTCCTCTTTTCTCTTAAGTATATGTAGCTGACTGCTGCAGCATTCATCCACTGTGCCTTCTGCATTTCCTTCAGCTTTTCCTTGAAGGTTTTCCTATTGACTTGTGCTTGGCATCAGGCTGATGCCATTGGCAAAAATACTATTCTTAAAATCTTTATTGTGAAGTGGTGAGGGAATTGCAGGTGCTTGTGGAAGCACAATTTGTGAATCTGAGTTCTTGTCGGCCAAGGCAATGTGTCACCGTGCCTGACGTACTTGTGAGTTGTTATCAATCCTGTTACCAATTTATGTCTAATCCCTTCTTGTCCATCTGTGATGCTTATGGTTCATCTCTTCTGGGCATTATTATTCGCATTTCAGGATGATACATCTAATGACCCATCTCACTTTGAGGGAGCAGTGCCATGCTGTGATGGAATAAA